AAATGCATGGTGAGGTCACTAAGCTCAAGGTCATAGTCACTCCCTGGAAGAAGCATTTGTACATGTCTCTGGACCTCCAGGGTCCGCCACAAAGCTAGTCAAATCTAGCCCTTCCTCCATCCTTCTCCATGCCCAGTTAGTGACTCAGAATCCCCCCTCCATTTGCACAAGATTTGATGGAACATAGGTAATCCTGGTGCCTATCGTCTCTGGTTGCTCTGCAGCCACTGGAATTAAGACAGTCATCTCTAATAAAGTTCTCTTTTTTTAACTGCAGCATTATAAATACATACGCAGCCTGCATATTCAAGGAGGCATGTAGGAGGAAATGCAGAGCTGTAGGGCCCTAGAACAGATGCCCCTCCCTGGCACCTGCACGCACATAACTTTCCTGACATCCCCAAAGGAGGCTTGTTTTCAGGGCTTTCTTATAGCAAAGGATTTACTGTAAAAAGATCAGAAAAATAGCATCCTTAACATTTATATCCTTTCTTTCCTCCGGCCCTCAAATGGGTTGGCAGCCATCAGCTTTCCTTCTCCCAGGGGCTAACTGGTCCCACAGTCCCTAAGGAAATTGGAGTGACATTAGCTGGGATGTAAAACGACTGCTGAATGGAGATCAGGAAGACGAGCAGCAGGAAGGGAAAGGGGTGGTGGTGTATGTGGCAACCTTGTACATTTGAGCCTGCAAATAAGTGCATTAAATCTAGGATGTGCTTGGGGTGGTGGTGAGGCATATAAAGAAGCAGCAGACGAATAAATCTGGCTGGTTACTAGGAGGAGAAGAGCTAATGGAGGAATTTTCTAAAAGGAGCTTTAACTTTTTTCCTGAATGCCGTAGCACTATAAATTACTAATGGGCTGACTGTAATTTTACAATGTAGCCTGGCATTTGAATTGCTTGCAGGAGATTGTACCTTGTGGGTAATCACAGGTAGGCATGGTGAAGGTCATGTAACATATTCCTTTAAAACACATAGCTAGCTAATTTGGTAACACATGTGTTTATTGGCAAAGATAATTATGATTACGGTGTGATACAGCATGTAGCAGGCACTCCTGGTTGTCTGAACAGCTTTTTCCTCATTTAGTGAAGCACTGATTTGGTGGGGAGTGGGGTTGAGTTTCAATCCTTCTCCAGGTGACACAGTTGAGTGACTTTCCCCTACCCTCCAGCATGAAAGGGAACTCCTAAGTGACCTAAGCCAAGCCCTGTGGCCTGGTCCCCTTTGTGGGGGCTGGTTTCAGAGTAGTTGTGCTGGAAGGCCTGGTACCTTGGTACCACCACTGCCACCATGGTACCACCACTGTCTCCTTCCAAGTCTAAGACTGTGCTTCCTGGAGTCGCTGTCTCCGTCCTGTTCCAGATTATTGCTCACAAGAGGGCAAAATTTGCAAAGAGGCTGGTGTTATTTCCTCTAGAGATGGTGGTAGCTGTCTAGGTGAGCAGTTGAGAGATTCCTAGCAGCTTTCTGGCACAAACTTGAGGAATTACACACTTAGGTGTTTCAGGTCAAGCTCTTTTGAGGGTCAACTCTTCTGATCTTCAAGGGTAGAGTTTTTGTTTGTTTTTTAATTTTTTAAAATTGATTTTAGAGAGGAAATGAGAGGGAGAGAAAAACATCAATGATGAGAGAGAATCATTGATTGGATGCCTCCTGCACGCCCCCTACTGAGGATTAACCCACATCTCAGCCATGTGCCCTTGACTAGAATCGAACCCAGGACCCTTCAGACCACAGGCTGATGCTCTATCCACTGAGCCAAACCAGCTAGGGCTAGGGGTAGAGTTTTTGAACTTCCTTGGCTCTCCCAGAAGGTGTGTATGCCCCCAATTCTTTGTTCAGTTCTTTATACCAAATGTGCATCGAGTGGCATTAGTTTTCCATCCTAGACCCTGACTGACACAGTAGCACATGGCCCAGTTCTGGCCAATAGGCTAGAAGGCTTCTCCTTACTCCTGAGAAGGAGGCTCTGGGAGAGACAGCCCTATCTGCCTCTGGACGACGTGGCATTTGGATGTGATGTGTGGTACAGCTGTCACGATTTGCTGCCAGCCTAAAATAGAGCCATACACAAGTAGAAGGCAAAGCCAAGAGAAATGCCCAGCAAAAAAAAAAAAAAAAAAAAAAAAGCCTGAGGCTTGAGGTACTTGCAGCCAATGGCCTTATAATTGGTGCAGGCTCATTTCTTAAAGAAGCAAACAGCAAAGTTAAGATAGTTTGACGTTGGCTGACATGGTTTCTGAGGATGAGGCATTATCCTAGTACTAGAGGCCTAGTGCATGAAATTCATGTACAAGAGGGTCCCCTCAGCCCAGCCTGCACCCTCTCTAATCCAGGACCCTGCAGGGGATGTCAGACTGCCAGTATAGGCCCGATACCAGCAGTTAGACATCCCTCTCACAATCCTGGATCACTTTTAATCTAGAGGAGAGATAATTGGGGGTGGGACCCGGGAGAGAGGAATGTATTAATTCTTGCCCAAACATCCACAGTGCTTAATAGGCTCATTTGTAAAATAGGTAAATTCTTACACTCTTTGACTAAGAGAACTTTATTGGTTATGGCACATGGGAAATTTTCACAAAGGTAACTTACAATCACAAAGTACTCTAGTAATATTATCATTAACACCCTTGTTTTGGAGATCTCAAATGCTTTCACAACATTAACTCTTACTCTCCGTGAACTGATAAGCAGAGGCTGAGTAACAATTAGTATACATACCTATTTTATCTGCTGCAATTGATGAAGAGAGAGATCTACTCAAAATAATGTGATGCAAGAACATTGACTTTTTTTTTAAAGAATAATTTATTTAAATGCATGCAAAGGTAATATTCCAACTTCATAAGTTAACTTTAGCATTCATATAGCATTTCACTAATTTGAAAGTAATCTGTGGACTTGATTTCCTTACTTCTCAAGAATTCCCAATTTTGCATAGACTTTGGGGGGGGGGGGAGGGGAGGCTGGAATCAAAGCAAATTCCAAATGAAATGAGTTACTCATAGACAAATAATTTCAAAAACAAATTTATAAGAATCCTTGCACTTTTCCAATTATATTTATTTATTTATATATTTCTAAATATATTTATTATTATTGATAGTATTACTTCTTTTTTTAACTTCATCCTGATTGCTACCTCCCAGTTATGAGAATCCCTCCATTTTAAGTAAAACACATAATTTATGATGAGGAATGCAATTTTAGATAAGAAATTGTTTCTATAGATTCATTTTGCACCCTGACATTTTCATTGTTCATGTGTTAAAAGATAAACTTTTTGTTATAAGTACAGCATTGCAATATACAGAGTCCTGGCATGGGTCCCTCGTTCTCATGACTACTATTAGACTCAAATCGATCCTCTGAATAATCTGGTCTCAAGAGACACAACTAACGTAGGAAACAAGGGGCTTTTAAAAACCGAGCCTGACGTCACACATTTGTGTCTTAACCATCGGTACCTTTTTATTAGCCAGGGGCTGCAGCTGCCCAGGCGGACAGACTCAGGCGCACAACAGTCTTCTCCAACACAAGCCTGGAACCGTAACATCGTGCGGCCGCTGAAGAAAAGCCCTTTCAGAGCCAGGGGTGGCGTGGAGTGTGTGTGTGCTTGGGTGTAGCAGGTGAGGGAGTCATTCCTCTTGTACATCCAGCGGTGCTATTGATTGGAAATCCTGCACATCTTTTTGATTTATCTCGTGTGGGAGGCAAAACCTTTCAGATGCGAAAAGAATGAAAGAAAGAAAAAAGAATCAAACCTGGCAGGAGGGGAAGGGGGGCTTTGGAGAGAACCGCAGCCTTGCTTCGGATTGGGACGGCGGGTAGAGAGAAAGGCTCGGGCGTCTACAACCTGTTTGGCTGCAAAAGACACTGCTTTCCGGCCCGCGTTCCAACATCCACCACCTCCCACAAGGTGGCTGCCGGGCGTCCCCTCTCCCCAAATCCGAGGAGCGTGTGTGCCGGTGAAGGCATTCCTTCTACGCCATGCAAGATCCGGCTTAGTGCAGGCTCCCCCTCCCCCGCTCCTTGTGGTCCTGCCCGCCGCCCTGCCCTCCCGGGGACCACCTCTCACCCCACTCCCTCGGCTCCTCCATTCTCTCCAAGCCCAGGGCGCATTCCCGCTCTCCCTTCCACTCGCGGGTCCGCTTTGCCCCTATCCACAATTCCGCTTCCAGGAAGGCTCAGCCTCCAGGTGCCCATCACGCACGCCCCTTCCGGCCTCTCCCCCCGGTACCTTCGACCTTCCCGGCTTTTGGGGAGCGTGCGCACTCTACCTCCACGTGCAAGCGGGATGGGGGGGGGGGGTTATCAAGCTCCTTTTGTAACCCCCACCCCCATACCTCCAGCCTCGGGCTCCGCCCCCCGCGCTCTGGGCGCGGGCCCAGGAGCACCTGGTCGCCCCTCCTCCGGCTCCGCTCCCGCCCCCTCCCCGCCCCGCGCGCGCCCGCGATCCGCGCCCACTCCTCGCAGTTTCCTCCTCCCCGCCCCCTCCTCCTCCCTCGCTCCGTCTCCGGGAGGCGGGGGCGGGCCCCGGCGAGCGCGGCGGCGGCGTGGCCAATCAGCACTCGGCTTACTCTGGCCTCTCCCCCGCGCGGCGGCCAATCGCGGCGGGCGGTGGTGGTAATATTGTGGAGTGGAGTTTGGATGCCGCCGCTGCCGCGGGGCTGGAGCGGCGGCGCGGCGCGGGGGCTGCCAGGGTGTTTCGGGAAGGGGGCGTGAGGAGGTGGCGGTGGCGACGGCGGCGTGTGCGGGCAGCTCCGGGAGAAAAGAGAGAAGAAAGGAAGGAAGAGGGCGGGGAGTCCTCCGAGGAGGAGGCGGGACCGGCCGGGATCCTCACCTCTCGGTAGCGGCGGGCAGGCGGCTGGCTCTCGGGAGGCGGTGCCGCCCCCTCCCGCGGACCCCGGAGCGCAGCCGGCCGCCGACCCGCCGGCCCCGCGGGGCAGCGCAGCCGAGGCTACTGGGGCGGCGGCGGCGGCGGCGATCGCCATGGCGTTCCTTAAACTCCGTGACCAGGTAGGTGAGGGGCGGCGGCGGGGCGGGATCGCGCCGATCGGGGAGGAAGGAAGAGGGAGGGGGCGGGCGGGCCAGCGGTGCGGGCCGCCGGGGCGCCTTCTCGGCGGGGTGGCTGCGAGGGAGGCTCGACGGCCGGGCGATCGGCGGCTGGCTGGGCCGGGGCCGCGGGCGATCCTCCTGTCAGCGGAGCCCGGGCTGGGTGAAGCCCACGTGCCGCTGGGGGGCTCGCCGCCGCCGCCGGAGGGGCGGGTCCCGCGCTCGCCGCCGCCGCCGCCGCCGCCGCCGGGGCGTCAGCGTCCTGCGCCGCCGGGTGTGCGCCTGCCTTCCTGCCTTCCTGCCTTCCTGCCAGGTGAGGCCCGGGCCTAACAGGTGGCTTCCCGCCGCCGCCGCCGCTCCCGGGCGGGCGCGGTGCCGGCGGCCGTGACCTCGGGTCACGACCTTGCTCGCCCGTTCGCCTCGCCGGATCGTTCGGGGCTCACTTGTCTCCCGAGTCAGAGGCGGTTGATTTTGCTTATTCAGTGTGCAAGTTCTCTCCCAGGCTTTTCCTTTTGACATTTTGTGCACCATCTTGGTGACTTTTTTTTTGATTTGGGAAGAGCTGGTCAAAAGAATGTCCGAAGTGCCGAAAAGAGCAGTGACTCCCTTGAACTGATGAAAGAGAAAAAAAAATTACTTTGTGACTAGCAACGAAATTGTAAGTGTATCAGGATGATCTGTGCACCTGAAAACATGGAAAGATGGGTAACCAGGATTTCAGGCCATGCGGCACTTTGCAAACACCTCTCCTTTAAGGAAAAGAGAAATTTAACGTGAAATTTAAGAAGGAAAAGAGAAATTAACGTGAAATGTAACGAGTCGCCGCCATAGGCTTATGATTGCTGCACATTTATTTTTGCCACTTGTTTTTCTGAACAGAAGCTATTGGACAAATATGAAGGGAAAGTAACTTGCATGCATTGGGGAACTATTCAGAAAGTTTTTACCCTTGTTGTAAAAACAATGGGGGGAAAAAAACTTCATATGTGTGGTTTTTTAAAAAAAAATATTGCCTGTTTGTGAATAATGTACCTTTAAATTTTGAATCTAAGTAGTATCGTGGATTCTTATTTCATAGTAAATCTTATTTTATATGTAGGCAGTCATAGTGAATTTTATTTTATGCTTAGGCTGATGACTGAATTTATGTGGAAGGTTTTACTTTAACATCATCAGGACATGGTACTTTGAAAAACTCTACTGTTTAGTGAAGTTTATACATTGTATTTCAAATCATACAACCGCATTGTCCAGTATGATAGCCACTAGCCACATGTGGCAACTTAAATTTAAATGAATTAAAATAAAATTTAAAAATTGAGTTCCTGAGTTCTAGCCACATTTCAAGTACTCGGTAGTCACATGTGACAATTGATTGTGTGTTGGACAGCACAGATAAGGGATTTCTGATTTATATCATCAGAAAGTTCTATGGGATAGCACTGTTAAAGAATAAAAGATAGCACTGTTAAAGAATAAAAGATAAACCACAGTTAAAGCATAAACCAATTTCTGCTAATTTCTGTACAGTTAACTCACCTTATAGTCTTGATGGTGTGAAACTCAAGATGATGTTCTCCGCTAATCTTTATCAATCATAATAACACCTTTTGCTTCCATAAGTTATAGTTGAGGTAATAATTTTGTTTTGTTTTGTTTCTAGTCTTACACTTTTGAGAAAGTTTGGATCGTTGCATACATTAGAAATTTGGTGAACTTGTAGGAGAGCATCCCATTTTATTCACCATCAGGTTGAAACCAAAACAGAATTGTGTTTTCAGGCAGACCTAAAACCCAGTTGTACCTTTGCATTTATGTATTTAGGTATTGCAATTATGAAGCAATTGTGATGATACTGCAGTTTTATGTAGTGCCTATTAATACTCAGTTGTGGTGATGTGTGAAATGTCACCTGTAAACTTGAGGATACTTGGACAAGTTAATGACGTGGCATGGCTCAAAGGGGGTTGAACATTGAGGTTTACCTCTGATTATTAAGTAATTGGCTCATCTGGTCTCTCTTTTGAAAGACTTTGAGAAGTGAGTTTGTTTTTTGTCTAAGGGGAATAGCTTTCAGAACTCATATGTTGATATTCTAGTAGCTTTAGATATATGGTGAAAATAAATTGAAATACAGTACTGTTTTAACATTTTCCATCTATAGGAATAGCAGTTTAGCTAGATGAATTATTTTCTTTGGAGGAGAGGCGATCTGGAGAAGTACACAGAAATAAAACTGGAAAGTACTTAACACAGCATTTAGCTTGATCCTCATTATACTTGAGATAGGAAGTAGTAGAATCTACTTTTTTAGATAGGAAGTAGTAGAATCTACTTTTTTATGTTATTTCCATATTTACCTTGTGTTTTGTTTTCTTCTAGCTTTACAAATGTGGTCTAATACGCAGAAGCTATAGTTAGTAGGAGTTGTTTTCCTTTGTGCACATGGCATGGGTTTTTCTAGATGGCTTAAACATAAAATCAGATTAAAGCAGTTTGTTTATGTATTCAATCAATAATCTGAATAAAACAGTGTCCCTCACTTTGTGCCAACACCTAATATGGGGATAAGAAGTTACTATTATGTACTATTTTCAGTTAGTAAGTGAAAATAATTTTTAATTGTAAATGAAATGGAAATTGTTTTCTGTTTGTAGTAGAAACAAAAACTTTCCCCTAGGTGTTTTTTCAAAGTGTTTAAATAGCATGAATTTGTAAAACTTACAGGGTTTTATTTAACAGGTGTCACTTTTAAGATTTTTGTCTTTGCATAAAGTTTTTTAAATTTTATTTTCCAGCCTTATTGAGATATTGGCATGTAAGCTTAAGGTGTAAAACACGACCATTTGATATTTGTATATATTGTGAAATGATTAACACAATAAGGCTAGTTAACATCTCTGTTCCTTCACACAATTACCAGGTTTTTTTTTTTTTTTTTTAAATATATTTTATTGATTTTTTACAGAGAGGAAGGGAGAGAGATACAGAGTTAGAAACATCGATGAGAGAGAGTCATCGATCAGCTGCCTCCTGCCCACCCCCTACTGGAACCAAGGTACATGCCCTTGACCGGAATCGAACCCTTCAGTCCCCAAGCCGACGCTCTATCCATTGAGCCAAACCGGTCCCGGCATAATTACCAGTTTCTTTATGTGTGGAGATAACATTTAAATATATATTATAGTATGCAATGTTATATACTGTATGACATATTACAGTATGTCACTATGCTGTACATTAGACCTCCAAAACTTATAGATGGAAATTTGTACCTTTTGACCAATTTCATTTTTATCAGTAGTGATTCATATTATACCCTAACAGGAAAGGTAGGTGGTCTATGTTTAGAGCAGGGATAGCATACAACTGGGAAACTAAATGGCAACTGACTTGAGGCTTTAGTATTTGGTCTTCCGTCAATGATTTATCTCACTTAACATATTATTTTAAGGTTCACCATGTTGTGGCATGAATCAGTTGGTTATAAACTTTTATATCATGTTTCAAAAAAAAATTTTTTACCGCCGAGACCGGTTTGGCTCAATGGATAGAGCGTCGGCTTGGGGACTGAAGGGTCCCGGGTTCGATTCCGGTCAAGGGCATGTACCTTGGTTGCGGGCATATCTCCAGTAGGGGGTGTGCAAGAGGCAGCTGATCAATGACTCTCTCTCATCGATGTTTCTAACTCTCTATCTCTCTCCCTTCCTCTCTGTATAAAATCAATAAAATATATTAAAAAAAAAAAGTTTTTACCTTTTATGCTGTGCTATTGCTGCCTATAGTGTGCATGTATATAATCTGTGATGTTTGTTTCTATTTTCTGAGTTTGTTTTATAATTGGAGTTAAACTTTATTTGCAGTAGTGCTAAAGGAGAAGCTTTTATACTTGCATTGTCTTGTGTAGTGTTAATGGTCAGTAGGTAAGAATTTTGTTATGTTGAAGGGTTTGTTTTTTTTAAACAGAGTTGGCATATATCAATTAGTAGATATTGGATGGATGAGAATAATTTAACTACTATTTTGGATAGTAAGTTCTTACTTGATCAAGTATTTACTAAAGATAGAACATTACTTGAGTTTTGGTAAAAAAAATAAATAAAAATAGATGATCTTTGAAAAGTCTTATCATTGGGGACACAGACTATGAAATGCCTGAAAAACACTGATGCCCAGATATTCAAGAACTATTCTACACTGAGTGTCTCCTTGGTTTGTGTTGGAGACTGTACGGGATACAGGCTGCAATAGTTAACCATCTCTGCCCTTAGGAATCTTATTGGTTAGAAAAGGAGAAAAGATACCTGGAGAGGGTTTAAAGAAAACATTTGGAACATATTATTTGAAAATGTAAACATAGTTCAAAACTGTGTGTCGTATATTTACATATATATATATTTTTTATTTATTTATTTATTTATTTTGAGATCTTGTAAGATGAAATGTAGAATGTGGAAAGCTCCTTGAGATACAGGTAACCTGTTTCAGAATTCACAATGGATCAGATGATCTGATTGTAGGCAAAGAGCTATATTAATGACTCACTTGTGTGTATAGTTAAGAGTGTCTTATGTTCATGTGACAATTGACAGTTATTTACCACTATAGGTTTTAGAAGAATCTATAATAATAAAGGTGTAATATGCTAACTAGAATGGACAATCTTCCGGACAAAGCAGAGGCTGTGAGGGAAGCTTGGATCCTTAGGTGCCTGCCGGTGGCTCAAGGGAACCCCAGGTCCTGGGTGCCAGAGGGAAGCCAATGCCAGCAGCCAGGGGAAGGAAGGCCCACTCTTGCATGAATTTTGTGCATCAGGCCTCTAGTAGATTATAAAAGACAAATGGGGACACCCAGATCAATTAGGTAACTACTGTTGTAATAGACATTTTAGTACCAACTGAGTACAGCAAGTACTAAGCAAACATTTTAATGGTAATTAACACATCTTTAAAGGATCCTCATAG